CGAAGGAGGAGAGGAAGTGAATGAGAGGTAAAAGGTAAGTAGTAGTGATGTCATGATTCATCGATTATACTCGATGCATGGTTGAACAGTGGCTTCGAACAAGCGCTTGTTTATCAAATCCATAAATCCGATTTCATGAAAAAAAATGAAAATATGCAAAGAAAATAAAAATGTTATAAACTTGGAAAAGTGATGAGAATTAGAGATATCATCGCTACTCATATGGAAAGTTAATCTTTATTAAACGATAATGTATTATACACACAAGTAAGGTAATCATGCAAACAAAACCAGTGCAAACAGGGCTAAAAAGCACATACATGCAAACGACGCTATAACCCACAACCAGGCATAACACGCCCGAGTAACGCGATTGTAAACGATCATTCGTTACTTGGGTCCAACCGATGATCGATTATGGAAATTACACCTGGGGGGGGGGGTAGGGAGCCAAGTGTGATAGAGAGGGAGGAACAATTGTCATTGTTTCTAATATTGAGCTTTTTGCTTTTAACATTACAGGAAGAACGTGTGTTGTTCCAATTACAATGGACACGGAGTGCCAAGACCCAACCGTCAATGGCGAGATCGTGGTTTTCACAAGTTAAGCTATTGCTGTTTGCTTAGTATAAGCATCACTGGCTATCGTGTTAACAGGCTAAGCAAGTATGTATGCTCTTTCAATATGGTAAGACTGCCGTGTGGTCATAAGCTGCAACAATCGACAAACATCAATCAATGACAAATCTCTCCCATGAGAACAAGTAAAAGGTGACGGCTGTGTACATTCAAGTACAGCACGGATAGCTTTACCTGCCTACTCTAAGATATTATCGTGAGGCAACTGGGGGAGGTTTTTAAAAAATCCAGTTTTTTGGCGATCAGTACCGATGCCATGCACTGACTTTAGAATTGACACATATGGCCTGGAGAGTAGAGATCACCACCACCTCTCTTGGATATGTTGCTAGATCAGTCAAGGTTAACAGCATTTTCTATAGGGTCCAGGCTAAAAAGTGGCTAGAGAACTGGCAAAAATGTGGCATTGCTTGGTTGACTAGAACTGTTTTCAGTCGCATTGGGCCAAATGAGTAAATTATCGTAAATGGTCCAGTCAGAAATAAATTAATATTGCACTGCTCAATTGTTTTTGTGTTGTGCTAGTAAAGATGTGATATACAGTTTGTCCTGGCATTTGCACGGTTTCATGAAATACACTCCTCTCCTGTGTGCGTGCGCCGTGTGCGTGCGTGTGTGTGACGCAGCAGCGAGAGCTGGTTTAACATTGGCCTGCACGAGTAGCATTAGTAATGATGTGCCGTTCTGGTATTTGGCAGAGTTTCACACAGTACATCCCGCCCTCGGTGTACCGATCTGCAGGCAGTGGATGGCACGCACGTCGATACTACGTCTACGCTGCTCGTGCGCGGCATCATTCGTCGAGTCGTTCAAGCAGTTTGCGCTGTCAGCGTGAGCAGGGAGCTTGAAGGGTATGCGTTTTGTTTACCGCAGCTAGGGCTGGCGGCCTGCTTGAGTGCTGGTGAGTTACTCAGCTGGGGTATCAAGTTGTTCGTTCTGCACTGAGGTTCGTGGCTGGGTCACGTGTTGGCAACCTGTATATGGAAGATACCGTGTGATTCCTCGGAATTGATAGGAAATGATTGAGCTAAGGATGAGAGATAGTGTCGTTGTGCCCAGGGTTCTCCCAGGATGAAATTCAAACGGGGGAGGGGCAGGGGTAGGGGGAGGGGAGGGGGCGAAACTAGGGGAGAAAGGGGGAGGGGGGAAACTAGGGGCGGGCGTGGTATTTTAGCCGGTACGACTATATTAATGCGTCACAAATCGCCACACACCATAGACGCGTATTTGGGGTTCTTGTAATATTAATGATAGCCGGAGTCGGTGTACAGTTAGTGGACAGTTAAGCTGTGGCATTGTCAGTTAACTTGTGTGACTATCTGCAGTGGGCCAAGAGTGCCGTTGGGGGTACGCGTAAAAGATACAACGCGGTCGGGATGTGCCTGTCGAACGGTCAATTTTTGCGACGATCGAGTCCGCGAGCCTGGCAAACCTTTTATTGTGGTGGAATTAAAACGGGGGCGCATCGAATTCAAACGGGGGAGTTTGTTCGCCAAACGGTGCGCGCGCGACAGATTTCTTTCTCGTACATGCGAAGTTTCCTGTGGCACGGCGCTAGAGGACCAAGCACCGCGGCGCCTGGTTGCACATTGATTCTCATGACATCATGAAGTTGGGTCTAGCGTCGTGAATGAACGTAGCACTTCGAAACGTCAGGCTCAATAAGACGTTTAAGCGTGCATTTCTGCGTGCGGGGCTGTGCATTTAACGGCCGGTCACATTACTACAACG